AGGCACTGGGTGGGAAAGGGTACAAGAGGGTGGGAGGAGAGGGTACGAGAGCATGCAAGAGGTGCCATGGTGGTTGCTTACTGGCATTCTGCTTGCTTCTCCTGAGGAAGCAATGCATTCTTTCACAGTGGGTCAGATTAAAGTTTTCTTTTATGTTTTGTTGGTTTGAAGACCAAGACTCATGGAGCTCAGACTGGCCTCTTAACTTGCTATATAGCCAAGGATGACGTTGAACTCCTGATCCTCTTGCCTCTATCTCCAAGTGCTGAGATTGTGTGTGTGGCCACCACACCATGCCCAGTTTGAGATTAAACTTTCTTTTTGTTTTGGTTTTTTTGTTTAAATATGTTTATTGCTTTTATTTTATGTATATGAGTGTATTGCCTGTGCCTTGGAGGTCATCAGATTCCCCTGGAACTGGAGTTAAGGACGGTTCATAGCCACCATGTGGGTGCTAGGAATCGAACCCGGGTTCTCTGCAAGAGCAGTCGGTGCTCTTAACCGCTGAGCCATCTCTTCAGCCCCAAGACTAAACTTTCTAAATGAAACTTTAATCATCTTTGCCAGTCTGTGGTGTCTAAACCCAAGGCATGAAGTGGGATATGGTATGTCCAGTGCTAAGCTCCCTTAAAGAAGTAGATGTGAGGCACTGACATAGCAACACCTCTACCAGTCACCCACCCAGTGTTTTTGCCCTTTGGGATAGCTTATAACTTGAGGCAGAGAGAGTGTGGCGCAGGGTGTGTGGGTGGGTGGGTGTGTGTCTTTTGTAAAGGTAGGGAAAAGACTGGGAAAGAGGAGGTGGAAAGGGAGAACAGGTATGACTTCTGGGCCTCAAGAGCATATGCGGTCATGCTAGGGTAGAGCAGATGTGGAAGTTGGCGATCTGGAATGGATTCAGTCCTAGTGTTTGTGCTGTGTACTCCTTAGAGAGTTGTTCTCAAGGGGTCACCCATCATCTCTTGAAGACACTATTGTGTGATTTCTTGAAGGTGGGAGAGGGTGGCTCCAAAGCACTGGTGGAGGGAAGGATTGTAATAGTGGGCCCAGAGCCAGGAACGTATTTCTACTGCTATTCATGATTTTTCAGTCCCAGTTTGCTGAGAAGTAGAGCATTCTTAGCTTTAGAAACTGACTAGTGAGAGGGAGTTGACTGGTCTACACTTGGACACTATGTGCTGAGCCGTGGTGCACTCTGCAGCCTGTAGCCTGCCGGCTCCAGAGGGAGCATTTAACAACCCCCTCCACACACACACACAGTGTGGGCTGTGGAGCAGGTATAGGAGAGTGTCCGAGAACTCTTCCACTGTAGTCATCATCATGAAACCTGAGGCATGAGCTGCTCCTAGGCCTTGTGCAATGTGATCTGCTACTTAACTAACTGTATGTTGCAAATTCAGTAATAAGTAAAGTGGTTCAGGTCTAATGGCCCGGCTGCTTTGAACAGCAAAGTGCTAAGAAGCAGATCATTTTCCTGAGAGATTTGTTCTGCTAAAGAGAAAAGAAATGGAACAATCTCTTCTTCGATTTTAATGACTTAGGAGAAGACGCAATTCTAATAATTATTAAATGAAAAGTTCACTGAGCCAGAAGGAATTTGATGAAAGCAGAAACATGTTGGACCAGTAACATTTCTGTGGTGGTAGGAACAGAGTTGACACAGTGTGGTAGGAAGGAGTGGCCATAGCATGGCCTTGTGATGGACAGCTCTGTCTCAGTAGGTGACAGGTAAAACTGGTAGGGTTCTTGTTATAGACTGTCTTATGTGGGCATCAATCACTCCTGAGGGAAATTCATAGTGAACACTGGTCTACAAAAGTGAAAAGGCCAAGGTTAAGTTTCTCTCCAATTTTGGTCAAAGTCAGACTACAAGAAAACAAAGCGTGCTGTATTTTATATACAAGATGTCACTTCTGTGACAGTCTCACAAATCCGGGTACATTTATAAAACTCAAACAACAGAAGTATCTTAACGGAGGAGAGATATGTTTTGAGGTGTTCGTCAGTTGTGTCGGAGAACGTGATGGATCTCACATCATGGCAGACAGGAAGCAGTCGGGCAGTAATGGGAAAGGGCTGGGGCAAGATGTCCCCAGTGTCTCACACCTGGTGCCTACTTCCTGTACTATGCCCTGCCTTCCGCAGTCTCCCCACCTCCCAGTAGCCTGTCCAAACCACTGATTGATAAGGTCAGAATCCTCAGGATTTAACTGCTTCTGGAAATGCCTTCAGATAAACCTAGAGTTGTGCCTTCAGATCTCCTGGGGTTAGTCAGCAGTCAATTCATTCTCAATTCAAATTGATGATCATGATTAGCCATGTCAACAAATAAATGGGGGAAGGAGAATAATAAATGCTGTATGATGGCCAAGCAACCAGGTAGGAAAAACAAAGGACCCTTTGTGGAAGAGGTTAGTGGAAAGAATGTAAGAGCCGGAGGAAGGGGTGGAGTGTTAATTGGAAGTGTCCTCCAGCCACTATGCTGGTAAGCCATAGTCACACCTCCTTCCCATGCTCATCAAGGAGTCAAGGAGGGAGTCAATTACCCCTCCCACCCAGTCGGTTGACCTTAGCTGCATGGGGAGGCAGGGCAAAGGATATATAAGCAGAGAACACCAAGCAGCACCTCTCACCATTTTGTGCGGCTGTCGGGAGGTCACAGGATCTGTATTTGAGTGTGGACTTTACAATGAAGCCATAAATGTGGGGCACCCAGTCTTCTGTAAATAACCCCCTACCTTGTGCTCTGTTAAAAAAAATAGTAAATAAATTTTTTAATTTTTTTTTAATTTTATATGTATGCATGTATTGCCTGCATATAGGTAAGTGCACCCGTGTCGTGCAATGCCCGTGGAGGACAGAAGGGG